GATTCAAGATGCCTTTGGAGTTGCTTAAAAATGGGAGAAGTGTTTTGGACCATGCCAATGCAATGACTTTTGAGGGTTGGGAGATCGTGAAAATGACCTAATTATTGCTTGCGAATAATTAGATGGATGAGTATATTATTTATTATTTAATAATAATGTTATAATTATGAAGTATATTTACATTTAGTGTGAGGATCTTAATTAAACAACAAAACAAAACAAATTTACATAAATAAAACTCAAAATTATAAAATTTATATGATAGTGCTCCTTTATTGTAGTTAATGAACCTTTGATTGTCATCCCCCTCTTTCTCTATCGAGATTGATCTTCCACGACAAAAAATGAGACTGATAGGATGGCCTGGGGGCGTACCATTTATAATAATAAAAATAAAATTAAATAATAATAAAATATTTATAAAAAAATTAAATAGCAAATGCTTTCAAATTTATAAGAGTAAATTTTTATCATTTATCTTTCAATTACATATTTATTTTCAATTTTGTATAGAAAAAATTAGATTGATGGTCGAAGATTAGGGTCAGCAGGACGAAGTACGAACTGCGAGCGTCGAACAACCTCTTGAACGTCAAATGCGACTGGGAAGAAGAAAGTTGTGAGGCGGCGACGTCGTCTTGAACGTCTAAGGCGTGAATCGTGAAATATATATATTGGAGCTATTTGAGTGTGTGTAAAATAAATGGTTGAAAACTTGAAATAAAATGAATGCGGTACAAACTTCAAAGATGGTGGGGGTCGGCAAAACGGCGGAGAACAATGGCAGCTGTGAGCGGCGGTGGTGGCAAACGGTGGCGGTGGTATCCGACAACTGTGGTGGCTGCTAATAGCGAGCGATAGCAAATTCGATGAATTTATGGTGTATTTAAAAAATCAATCAAATTTGAGAAATTTCAAATACACCAACATTGAATTAGAAGGTGGATTTCAAATGCAGCAAAATTTTATACTGCATTTGTTATATGTCAAAACAAATACTAATATTTTTAAAATTCTAACATTTGAAATACTTTACACTCATATCAATTCAAACCAAACAACTCTGAATTTGAACTTATTTAAAAAAATAAAATAAAATAAAATAAAAGATACCTGTTTCAATCTTAATTATAGCATTGTTGTTTGAGGTAAATACACCATGTAATTGTTTGAGTGTTATTTAATAATACTAATAATAATTCTTTAGTATTTTATGTTGAATATTCTAGAAGCTTAGTGCTAATTGACTGACTATCAGGATAAAATGAGACAGATGATTTCAACTTAATAAGAATTTAAGGAAATTTGTGGGAAAAGGATAGACCATAGAACAGTACTTCATAATCTCTTCTAACTGTTTTGCTTGATTAAGCAATTTAGAACGCAAAATTGATGTAAATAGGAATTCACCTATCAATGTACAAGCATTCTAAATAGTTCTTGTGCTAAATGAGTTGTCCAAATATAAAATTCTTATAAGACTTTAGAGAAACCAATTTCAACCACATTCACCCGATCGCCCGTTCGCAGTCTGACTCACATGAATAGTATTCTTGTATTTCAAGAACTTCAACTTCGCCCTTTGCATAATAATGCATATCACGCTGTAGGTTATCTGTGTTATTCTTCTCTAGTTTTTTTACATGAAGACCATCTTCAACAGAGTTGTATATTGTGGTATGCACTCCGCCATTCGCTCCATTCGAACGCTAAATGACACTCCAAAATTCAGTAGGTGAACAATGCGACGCGAATATTGAGATTACAGGATTGCCGAAAAAGCACGTGAAAGAGGAGAAAGACGGTTACTTTCGTAGCAAGATGAAGAAGCGCACGAAAGAGAAGAAAAAAATGCAGTACGATTACAAATGAATTACTGCATTTTGAATTGGAAAATGAGGTTTTCAGAGCATCTCCAATTTCTTCCGTCGCTCCAACCGAGCGGCAATTCTTAAGCCATTTTATCGTCGCTCCAACCGAGCGGCAATTCTTAAGCCATTTTATCGCGGATGAACAGTGCGACACCAATATTGGTGTGGCACTGTTCATCTCCGTCATTTTTTAGTCTCTACCAAATTTGCAGAAGAAACGCACGAACGACCGTTACGAGGTAAAATGACGTTCAATTGGAGATAAATCACGGCATTTTTCAGTTTCACGACATTTTGGAGTAAAAAATGAGATTTTCGGTTGGAGATGCCCTCAATTGGAGATGCTCAAAAAGGATAATTTGCCTTCATTTGAAGGATTTCCTAAAAATACTTCTACTATCATAATCTTCTACAAAGTGAAGCTTAATTTAATTGTTTTTGGAACCATACGAAAGGTCAATTCAACAGTTGGCAATCATGTGAAGTAGATAGAATAAAAAACCCTTTTTTTTTTCCTTCTTCCTCTCATTTTGCCACAGCTAGCTCTTGGCACAGCATAATTTCTTCTATCCGATTGCTTTGAGGACCTTCATCTAAGAATAATGACAAGCAACTTTTTGAGAATGTGAGGAGCTGCGACAGTCCACGCCCTCGCAAATGGCGGTGGGGTTGAGAGGAAAAGCTGGAAAGTTGTAATCCACTTAGAGAGTTGGAAGGGATGGGAATGCTGTATTATTTGCATGAGATGTGCTTTTGAATTATATGTTGGAAAGGAGAATCATAAATGGATTATCAGCTTTGAATGTTTAGAAGATATTATCATTATGAAGGTATTAAGAATATGAAATCAAATGATGCATCTTTATGTTATTTGAATGTTTTATGTGGTGTAAAGGATGGTTTAGTGAGATACTTAGTGTTGTTGTTATGAAGTTTAGGAAGTTCAAAGAATCATATATAACTCGACGGACGGGCGACGGCTGCCCTCTGACTGTATATTTATAGGTTAAGATCGAGACACAATGTCATGAGGAGAAAAATGTTAGAATGAGATCAAATTAGCTCTAAGAAGCCCATTTTTACGACAAGAAGCCCCCGCATTAATTGCCATTGGATTTGCTAGACCATAGTGGTCCCAATTGGTTTAACCCAAACCCTTCTTAGAACTAACCTAATGATTTAATGACTAGGATAAGCATGATTATACTAGTAATTGCTACTAAAGAATACTCTAAAATGATTGGAAAACAATTAAACAATTTTTTTTTTAGTAGATTATTTTTTTGCAATAAATCATTTATGATGGTATATATACTAAAGATTTTTTTTTTTTTGTTGGAAATAATAAAATTGGGCATATTATATTCCTTTCTCGTAGATTTCTTCTCTAGAAATGAGCTTTTCTTCTATAGTAAATTACAGCCATCCAATGGGACAAAAATCAGAGAAATTTCATTAATCATCGTCCATAAAATTCAAATGGAGCAACCAACACAACACAAAAGAAGAACCATCTCCATTGATCACAAAAATTGTGTAGGCCTCCCAACATACCCACGATTTATTATTCTGTGCGGTGTGCGGAGAGCTTCCGAAGATCAATAAAAATGCGCAACGTCACCCTATTGCTGGAATTTTTATTAGATCCGGACACCTGACGTAGCTCTACATCCGGACGCCAATAAAATGTCGCCACGTGCTCTTATTCTTTACAACGCGGCCTGATGGTCCGACCCGGACCGGAACCCAATATTGTTATGTATTAGGTATTGGTCTTGACAGAATGGTATTTCTCGTTATCTAGCAATACCGAGAAAAACCTAGCAATACCTTGGTCTGTACAAATCAACTTGGACCTAATAAAAATTGCTAGAAAAACCTAGCAATACCTTGGACCTAATAAAAATTCTAGCAATAGGGTGACGTTGCGCATTTTTATTGATCTTCAAACGCTCTCCGCACACCGCACAGAATAATAAATCGTGGGAATGTTGGGAGGCCTACACAATTTTTGTGATGAATGGAGATGGTTCTTCTTTTGTGTTGTGTTGGTTGCTCCATTTGAATTTTATGGACGATGATTAATGAAATTGCTCTGATTTTTGTCCCATTGGATTGCTGTAATTTGCTATAGAAGAAAAGCTCATTTCTAGAGAAGAAATCTACCAGAAAGGAATATAATATGCCCAATTTTATTATTTCCAACAAAAAAAATTTTCTTTAGTATATATACCATCATAAATGATTTATTGCAAAAAAAATAATCTACTAAAAAAAATTGTTTAATTGTTTTCCAATCATTTTAGAGTATTTTTTAGTAGGAATTACTAGTATAATCATGCTTATTCTAGTCCTTAAACCATGAGGTTAGTTCTAAGAAGGGTTTGGGTTACACCAATTGGGTGCACTATGGTCTAGCAAAGCCAATTTAACTTAAATTCTTCCTTAGGTTTAAGGCTTTGTCGGGAAAAACTTTCTTATTGTTTTATAAAATAATTTGTTAGTACAAATTTTTTAAAATTTAAAATTCTTGTACTAAAATATTGTTTCATAAAATAATTTAAAAACTATCTCAAATATCGGCTTTCTTACTACTATTTAAAACAACTTTTTAGTAAAAAATTAAAATTTATATACTAAGGCTTCATTTGGAACAACTTTTTTATTGCTTTCCAAAATGAAATTTTAGTACAAATTTTTTTATTTTTGAACTAAAACTCCGTTTTAGAAAACAATAAAAAAGCCGTCCCAAACGAAGCCTAAAAGTTACTTAAGGAATCAATAAAAAAGCCTTCTCAAATGAAGCCTAATTTTAGTTCGAGCAAGATCAACCTAATAACTATACCAAAAAGAAAGAGAAGCAGTCAAGTTAGAAAATTTTACACCAGTTTTTTTTTTTTTTTAATCAAATTTCTATAAAGATATCTTGAAAAAAAAATACATTTCTCCTAGTTAAAATTTTGTGAAAAACATATTATTCAATATATTGTGCATAAAATTTTATACAGAAAATTACTTTGATTTACATAATTTAAAAAAAAAAGTTATATCATGAATGAAGATATACACACAGATAAGAAAGAAATTCCTAAATGTAAAAAAAAAAAAAAAACATTTCATGTAAATTTATTTAGATAGGAAGTAAAGCATTGATAAGCTTTTAATGCATTAGTTAAAGTGCTTCAATAACATGTCCAAGAAGACCAAAGATGGTACATAAATTCTACAAGAAATTCCGTATACAGATCCCCTATTATTTATCTTTTACACTATTCAGTTTAATTTCATCTTAATGGCCTGATACATATTCGGTGCAATTAATCCTTCAACCACCCCTATGGAAATCCTACTCCAACAAGATTTTCTTCCTTCCATTAATGTTTTGTTCATATCTCTGTTTATGGTAATCAAATTTATCATTCTTAAATAAACTATTCATTAAAATTATTTTAAAAATTAATAAAATATAAATTTTTCAATCCTGCAGCAGATCACATCTTCAGGTATTGATAAGCTGGTAGACAGCACAACTATTTATAAAGACAATCATGTGTTTGGCTGCTGGAGGGTTTGATTTTTTGATCTAACCACCGATAAGATCTGCATAATAGAATAATTTTGTGAAGGCAAATAGAAGCCAAAGTGCTCTTTAAATTACATAAAAATATATACAGGAATAACGAATCAGTCATAAGTCTTTACCATTTCTGTAAACTGCGGAAAGCCCTCTCTTTCCATGGCTTTATCCAATTCCTAAAATAATGGAAGCAATAGTTTAAGAAATCAAATGCAAGATTGAGAAAAAGAAAGGACTTAGCTTTGTTTAGGACGGCTTTCTTACTGCTTCTTAAAGTAGCTTTTTAGTATAAAAATCAAAAGTTTTATAATAAAAAGTTGCTTTAAGAAGCAGTATGCTTCGTTTGGTACAGCTTTGCTACTGCTTCTTAAAGCAGCTTTCTAGTTTAAAAATTAAAATTTTTGTACTAAAAAACTGCTTTACGAAACAATAACAAAGCCGTCCCAAACGAATCCTTATTCTTATGTAAATTTTAGAGGATAGAAGGTTGGCCAACCTCCTCTGGGTTACTGCAGCTGTCAATCTTGTACACCAGTTTCTGTAGCTCTATGTCATTCAAGGCATCCCGTATAGCTTTCGACTGTGCTGCTCAGAGGGAACAAGATTTGATTGCAAAACGTTAAGTTTAAAGTTACAGGTGGCTGAAGAAACAGTGTATTGTAACAAGAAAAGCAATACACAATTATTCTTGGCCTATTGGTTGAGAGCTTAGGCTTCCAACTAAGAGGTCCAAGGTTCGAGTCTTTGTGTATGCGTTGTGTGTGTGAGTTTGCCTTAAATGGCCTAAATGTCCCAAAAAAAAACAAGAAAAGCAATAAAAATTTGTAAAAAGCATCCACTAAAATGAAGTTCGAAGCCTAATAAAAATGCTGAGTAAACAAACTTGAATAATATGTAATCATAAAATTTTAGGACTGAAAAACCTTTTTAAACACAATGCTCCTAATTCAGTCAAGAATAATAAAGAAAAAACATTCATAATGAAGTTTTCTCACCACATCTAAAAAAGAACTATTAGTCATCTTCTTTACAAGGCTTTTTGCCAATTCATGCAACAAATAGAATAAAATTCCTTCTTCAGTTCATGCAATGAAAAGAGTAATATTCATATTAAACAAAATAAGTGAGGTTTTAAAAAGTATTTTCTGGAAGGTTTTGCATGCTGATTGTTCGGAGAAACCTTTTGGCTGCCCACTACAAATACATTTACAGTTGGTAATCACGCTAGTCTCGCACTAGATGTCCCCATCCAGACTTAGGCTTCGTTAGGAACAGCTTTCTTCCTGCTTCTTAAAGCTGCTTTCTAGTAAAAATTTAGGCTTCGTTTGGGACGGCTTTTTTTCCGCTTCTTAAAGCAGCTTCCTAGTACAAAAATTTTAATTTTGATACTAAGAAGTTGCTTTAAGAAGCAACAAGAAAGCAGTCCCAAACGAAGCCTTAAAATTTTTATACTAAAAAGCCGCTTTAAGAAGCAATAAGAAAGTCATCCCAAACAAAGCCTTAATTTATATGATAATGAAATAGCAAAACATATAGATTGTAATTTTTCACCATCCAGGCTCGAACTACAGTTTCTATGGGCGACATTAGAGCACCACAATGATGTAAAAAGCCATTGTTGTAATATAAGGCGAGCTTAAATACCTATAAGCTGTAGTTGATCACTGCCAAGAATCCAGTTAGTTTCATCTACTTCAAATGCTCTTTCTGGGAGCACCATAGAAACTGAAAAAAACATAGATTGTACAAACACTTAGATGTCTTACACGTCTGTTAGGTCAATGAAATTTAAAAAGCTTCCCTCCGTGTATGATATGGTACAGAGATAGATTGTATCTCGGAACTCTATAAATCTATAAATAAAATCATATTTATGTAAATTTATTAATACCAAGATCGCAACACCTGGATTTTACACCTAGAGTCGAAGAACAAAGTTCTACAACAAAAGGATGCATGCAATGCTTGAAACTGGTCCACAAATAGATTACAAGAATATAATACATACCATCAGATTTTATTAGTTCCAATCTCCCAACACAAGAACACAAAAATCAATAACAACGTTAAGTAGTGACAAATAACAAATGGTAAATTAAGGTTTAGTTTGGGGCAGCTTTCTTAATGTTTTCTAAAGCAGCTTTTTAGTACAAAATTTTTTTAAACTAAAAAATTATGTACTACAAAGCTGCTTTATGTAAGAAAGTCGTCCCAAATGAAGCTTAAAAATCAATGAAAAGATGAATGACTTCTGGAAAACTCAAATCAGGAGACAAGGGCATCTTGACAATGTATCACGAAGATATTCGTATGCAAAGCCAAGAATGAGTTTCGAATACATACAATAAGTTTGGAAAAGTTATAATGAGTCCAAAATGCCCAAATTCTATGAGCAAAAATATATTAACTGCACATTTGTTCTCAAATAAAGGTATAGAATGCATACTTGTCTCTTCCTGTGGAGTCAACTTTTGACATGGATTCTCTGCACCAATCATATAAATAGAACGTCATCATTGGACGGAATAAAATAAAATAAAACTGTCCAAGAATCTGCATCAATAAGAAATCACAGGGAAAGCACATATAAGAGACCTTTTGCTGATACAAAAACAACTCTAAATTCATTAGGCCACATTATAAAATCAAGAGAAGCCTACTAAAAAATATCCCTCATCCCTATCAAAAAAATTTAAAATGACAAAAATACAAACCAAAGAAAATAACCAAGCACTAGATAAATCCAGAACAATGTACAGTAGAAGCTGAGTGATCCTTAAAGCAACTTTTCATAACAAGGATCTCTTAAAAAGAAAAACTTCACTGAGCCCGATGTTGAAGATCGTGTAGTACCCACTCCTTCCTCATCCTGCATCGGCCTAAATTTTCACCTCGAGCAAATATGAGTCCAACTATGCAATCAATCAGTGTGACCTATCGAGCACACGGATTGAGAAGCTTAGTTATTAGATATTCTCCCTCTTAACCATTGGATTGCAATACATGTGCTCATCTCGCTTTAGCAAGCAGCGAGCCCATACTTTTTTGAATTTATTTATTTATTTATTTTGTATAAATGTATTTATCTTTTTCTATATGTAATATCCTTGAAAAAACCTATAAATACATCCAATATATGAAAAGAAAATAAGAAATAAAATTTGAAGTTGTTATTCATATTTCTATTTTTGTACATGTTATCAATGAAATGTTAGGTTTCTTTCTTCGAAACTTTGCTCTTGCTTCTTCCTCTTTCTTGTTGATATTCATCATTTTATTCATTATGTCTGATTTTTTTTACTTCTCTTCCAAGAAGTCAACCATCATGAATTATGAAATCTCACTAAGAAAAACTCCAGGGTATACAAGTCATATATAGTTTAAATGAAAAAAAAAACTATCTTAAATGGCCTCATATTATGAAAACATTTCTCAAAGGAAAGAAAAATATCCGGCATCTTGTGGATCTTCCTCCAGATTAAAAGAACCCAAAGTTTTTACTTTGAGATGAAGTTGATTCCAAAATAATAAAATGAGTGTGAAATAACACAATGCATGAAATCAGTAGTCATATATGTTCATATCTACATCACAAGAAATTAGAATTCTATCAAACAAACACACTCAAAAGTAAAGGATGATGCCCTCATCTACGAGGTTATAACTAAGATCTCAACAACCAAACAAGATAACTTTCATGTTCTTGAATACTTTAATGCAATGAATGTTTCTTAGTTTAGCCTAGATTACAACCAAATCTCAAGATGAGGTGCTAAAATAATTCAATAATTCTCAAGCAATTTGTAAAAAAATGGGGGGTGTCTTTCTTGCATGAGCTCAATAATAACTTCGACCAAGTTCATGCTTAAATCTTAAGCGGAGAAAATATATCATCCCTAAATGAGATATTCTCTACTACACGGACTGAACTAGGAAGAAAGACAATAATGCTCGACATTCCAGCCTCTGAAACATCTACCATGAGCCCATAACTAACACCAAATCCCAAGATAAATGACTTGTTACCACAAACTCTTTTACTAAAGGAGGATAAAAGCATTTTTTTCAAAGGCAATATATGATGCAAGTAATGAAAGAAGAAATACCGCATCAAAGAAAAGTGCTCAAAACTACATGAAAATCTCTAAGGAAATGGTAAAACAAAGGATACTAAAAGGGTAAGCCTGTCTTGTTGAATCAAAAGAACTCAACTCAAAAGAAATTGACAAACTAAATAACTTTCATAACTCCTTCAATAAATCATCTGGATCATGCTCTCCAACTTAAAATGATATAACTTCTAAATCCTATATATTTAATGACTTGGATAATTCCCCACAAAACCGAATCTTTGATTTAGGAGTCATTGACCTCATGAAAAACCTTGTCAACATCTTTCTAACCTAAAAACCTTAGCCCAATAACAGAAAAATAAAAGTGGGTCATAATTCCCTAACAACTATTGCAATTCAAGGAAAAATTTTAATTTACCCACATTTAACCTCAATAAAGTATTGCATGCTCCTCACCTTGCTGTAAATCTTTATCAATCCATAAAATTGTCAAAGACCACAACTACAATGCAACTTTTTTTGTTAATTATTGTATATTTCAAGACCTCACCATGGAAAAGACAATGAGGCAAAAAAGATAGAATGATGGGTTATATCTTCTTGAAAACAAAAATCGCTTACTGTGCATCTTCATTTTCACGTACAATATTGAAATCATCTAAGCATCATTATAAACTAGAGCATCCCTCCTTCAAAACTCTATAATATATGATTCCTTCTTTTTAATAAATATAAATATTAAAATTTTCATTGTGAGATTTGTTAGATTATAAAATATCATCATGTTATTTTTTCTAAAAGTAATTTAGATCATCCACTCCTATATTAATTCATTATAATATTTGGGGACCCTCCAAAATTCCTAACAATTTTTAGAGCTGCTGGATTTGTAATTTTCATTGATGATTATACTCATATGACATAAGTATATCTCACAAAATAAAATTATGATGCCAGCATCATCCTCTCCACTTTCATATTCAAGATAAAAAACCACTTTAATATCAACATCAAATAATTTCAAACAAATAACACTCGCGATTACATCAATCACATGGTATCTTCTTTCTTTCATAAAAAATGTATCATTCATCAATCCACATGTCCTGATACTCTTCAATAAAACAGGGTGGCAAAAAGAAAAATTATCATCTCCTGAAAGTCACCAAGTCTCTTCTTACCTGTAAACAAGTACCAAAAAATTACTGAGGAGAAACTGTGCAACTTGCTAATTACATAATTAACAGAATAACCTTAAGAATGATAAATTTTGAAAATCCTTTCAACCATCTCGCAGAATTTTTTCCCACAAATACATTCTCTCAAAATTCCTCCAAAGATATTTGGGTGCATTACCCATGTCCATATCCATAAACAATACAGAGGTAAACTATATTCTATAGCTCTCAAATGAATTTTTATTCAGTATTCCTTCACAAAAATAGGTACAAATGTTATCATCCTAACACAAAAAAGTTCCTTACCTCAAAGGATATTCCAATAAACTTTTTTCAATTAAACTCATTTTTAAGCGATAAAAGGGATAATTTTTGAAATAGAAGATAAATTTGATGAAATCTCTATCTTTCATCTTGACATTCCTAACAAACCCAAGCATTGTACCACTTTAGATTTACATAAGAAGGAATAAGCCCAGCTAGACTCTCTAACAAGCTCAAGTTTTGAAATCATTATCCGGTAATAATTTTCAACTCATCGCTACTCTATATCCCATTTCCCAATAAACACTTTTCATATTTTTTTCCCATCAAATAAAGCATTTGTTACAAATATCAACTCTAGTTCCATTTCAATACCACAAATTCTATTTGAAGCACTTCAAAATAAGAATTGAAATAATGCCATAAGAGAATAGATGAATACTACAACAACAACAATAACATCAAGCCTTTATCCCACTATGTGGGGTTGACTAAATGAATCTTTTTTCTCCATTGTGTCCTATTAAGAGTTAAATTCTCATTTAAATATAATAAAAAAATGTCATTTCTAATATTTTCTAACCAAGTATTTTTAGGTCCACCGCTGCCTTTCTTAACATAAGTCAAATATAATACACTATTTTCCTAACCGGGTCATCGGAAGGCCGTAGTTTTATGTGACCAAACAATCTAAGGAGACTCTCTCTAATCTGAGCACTGTCATCTCTGTAACACTTAACTTAATATTATGCTTCTCTTTTAATGGCCAATACTCTGCACCATAAAGCATTGCAGGTCAAACCATCATTTTATAGAATTTTCCCTTAAGTTTAAAGGGGAGTTTAAAGGGGACTTTTCTATCACACAACAAGCCCGATATTCCTCCACATCAACCATCCAACTTGAATTCTACTAATAATATCCCCATCTATTTCACCATCACTCTGAACAATAGATCCAATATATCTAAAATGTTTACTCTGATTAATGACTTGATCATCCAAAGTCACAATCCACCCACTAGATCTATTATTACTAAAATTACACTCAATATATTAGTTTTAGATCTACTCATACAAAAGCCGTTAAACTCAAAGGGTGACGTATATAATTCAAGTTTACCTTCAACTCTCTCTCTAGTCTTGTCAACAAGAAGAATATCATCAACAAAAAGCATACATCAAGGTACAACCTCTTGCAAATGTCTAGTGAGAACATCCATGACTAAAGAAAAAATATATGGGCTTAAGGTTGATCCTTGATGTAATCCAACTGAAATAGGAAAATACTTGGTCGAACTACCTTATGTTTGAACACAAGTAATAGCTCATGCATACATGTCCTTAATGACTTGAATATAAGCATTATTAACCTCTTTCTTTTCTAGAACTTTCCATACCACTTCTCTTGGAGCTTTACCATATGCTTTCTCTAAATCAATAAATATCATATGTAATCCAACTATAATAGATGAAATGTCTATGAAAAAAAATCACACTTGGGAAATTATTGAACTGCCGAATGGAAATAAAATGGAATAATGCAAGCAAATTTTTCATATAAAACATAAGACAGATGAGAGTCTCGAACAGTACAAAGTCAAAATTGGTGGCCAAAAAATATATTCAATCCTATAGAATTGACTATCAAGAAATATTTGCTCCTATTGCAAAAATGAATATGTTTCGCATGTTGATTTTGCTAGCAACTAATCTTGGAAGATCCATACAATAGTTTAATGTAAAGAATGTATTTTTACATAAAGAAGTTAAAGAAGAAGTCTATATAGATCCTCCACGAAGGTTCGATGGCTCATTCACAAAAAATAAATATACAAATTAAAAAAGACTCTAAATTGATTTTAATAGTCTTCGAGAGCATGGTTTGATAGATTTACAAAAGCCATGATTGAAGCTGGATACAAATAAAAGCCAAGGGGATTGTACCCTCTTCATAAGATACTCCATTGATGGCAATATCTCAATTCTTATTGTATATACTTACATGTAATTGTATATGCAAACTTATTCCTACTATGCAGAAAATCATCGTATGATTTATTAAGCACACAGATTGATGAGCTTAGTCATTAAATCTTCTCCCTTTCAACCGCTGGATTGCAATCCATATGCTCATCTCCCTTAACATAGTCGTCACCCTGTTCTTTTTGGATTATTTATTTATTTTGTGTAAATTACATTTACCTTTTTTTCATACATAATATCATTAGAAGCCTATAAATACCTCAAATTTGTATATAAAAGTAAGAAATAAAATTCAAAAGAGCTTTTCATGGTTCTAATTTTATAAACTCTACATAGAACATCTAGATCAATAGTGAAGAATAAATTTTATGACACTACTGGCAAATCTAAACCAGCAGCCTCCTCTTTCTAAATTAAAAAAAAAAATCTCTTAGCCATGCATCTTTTTCCAACAAATTGCTCCACATTGAAAATACACAAGGTAATTCTACTTCTAGGACTATATTTTACATTTTTTTAGTTTGACAAAGTTACAAATCAAGTGATATAACAAAATGTAAGAAATCAATAAACCAAAATAGAAAAAGAAAATTATAGAAAGATAATACCTTTATGCTTTTTAAAGCATGCCAATGAACAACTGCCCAAGGAAAAAGAAAATAAACACATTAGCAAACTAAAAAAAGGTATCAAACGCAAATGATTAACAAATCCTATGGTAGACAATAATCTCAAGCATAATAACTACATTTAAAAACATGAAAAAGGAAAGCAACGTTACACATTACATTTTGAAAGCCAAGCAACCCAAATTATAAGCTAATCAAAAGAAATACTAAAGAGGAAGCATCTTTTCTTTAGAAAAATGTATGTGACATTCAATATTATTTTAACCATCCAACAAAACTTTTAACGCATATTTAGAACAGAGAAAATAGGCAAAGGTGATGGGGGGAACGCTTACTATGGCAAAAGGCAAGATGGGCACTTGTATTTGAATTGCGCTTCCTGGCAAATTTGGCATTGTCGAGAAGCCATGTCCGATGTAAACCCTCAAATGCCTACTGTTTTAGAATTAGAACAAAAAAGAGACAAACATAAGCATAATGCTTCAACAAAATGTGGCAGATAAGAGCTGCCTACTGCTAACAAATTGTTGTTGATGAAATTTCAAAACAACATTTCCTTATATTTTTTGGTGAGGAGTTATGGCACTCTAATCTAACGAGAAACACAGGCACATCACATATGATCTAGACAGTCTAGAGAGGTTATAAAACAATAAAGATAAGAATGACTTCCTAATCATAACTTATTAACGTTCTATATTATAATAGCCAAATCCACAACAAATTCTAGGATTCACTTTAGCCAAATCTACCACAAAATTATAAGATTATCTTTGCCATGCCCATGCACACGATTTCTTTGGCATCATCTAGCGCATCCTTTCGGCTCATTATCTTCATTGATTCCACACCAAGTCAATGGTGCAATTCCTCGGGCTCACCCTCCTTAATGCTGATGCCAAGACATAGCCATCTTCTCCTTTGTCCCACCTCCATGGCGCTCTCCTCTAATGTTGAGGCTTCAGCCACATCAACATTTGATATTGCAAACTCATAGCCCATAACTCGAGAGATGTCATCTCCATTCTAAAACTTCTCCTGACTTCCCCTTCCTCACTCATTGATCGATGTCTTCTTGCATGAGAGGCTTCATCATTCACACTCCCTTACTCTGATTCCTTATCAATCTTCAAAAGCTCCTACCTCTGTGATTATCTCTTATGGGCATCCTATACTGATGCCTAAAGAACAATTTATTAATGTTTTTCGTGATTTTCCTCTCCCTTTTGATGTCTCAATTATCTTTGCTCCACCAGAGCATCGGTAGCTACTTTTACTCCCACTGCTAGTGCTACTTTGGTGGTTGGTTTCTCACCCAACCCAAATCCCGGATTTACTAATTCCAGGAATTCGGCAGATTTACGGGATTTGGCCGAAGAAACGCGCAAAAGGGATAAAGATGATTACCTTCGCAGCGAGCGAGCTCCCGTCGTGACTTCCAATTCGAAGTCGTCGTCGGAGGCGAAGCAGCTACTTAAGCGACTCTATCAACAAACTATTTCACGCAAAAGCACGCGAAGTCGAAGCAGCAAGTAATGGCCACAAAGAAAAAGCTGCGATAGGAACGAAGGACGCACGAAGAAAGATGAAAAGCAAGCCCTACCTTCTTAAATTAGAAATTAATCTATGTTAGCATTACAAATATAATTTAAAATATTAATAATTAATTATATTAATTAAAAAACTAATAGTATAATTAATCAAATTAATTTAGCTTGTTTAATTTATCATTATAATTTATTTAAGGTAATTAAAATTGAAATTAATTAGTAACTCATACTTAACACTCAAATTAAATTCAAAACACATTAAATTTAATTTTTAAATAAATCAACCACCTTAAATCTTGGGGTCAACCTGATCCATGTTAACGAGTCAAGTAGAGTCAACCTTATAACCCAATTGGGGGGGATCCGAGTTCAACCTTAGAATCTCCTACTTTGTATGCCCACTCCAAGGACCATTCTTTGTCTGAAGAAGACTTGAACAAATATTCAGTTCGTCCTTTGAGATCGACTCCAAATTGAGGTGGATTATCAGGGTTTTGCTCCTCATTAATATGGTGATTGTTGTTTCATAATAGAATATGATTTGCAAAGATGACGCTATGACATTCAATAGAAGTGTATGTATTAAAATAAGTCTATATTATGAGTCAACATACATAAATTTGAACATTCATACATCAAAATAAACCTATCTATGCAACTTTATTTATTATGAATATAAAAATATCCTCACTGAGTGCATAAGTATTAAAAAAATCATAATTATGATAGGATTAAATATCTAAGTATTTATCAAAGAGCATAAACCAATTAATATGGATTATGCCCCTAACAAATAATGGTATATTTATCTTTAAATAAATAATAGCTTGTTACATTTATCAGTATGAAATCCAAATTCTAGTGCGCGTTGCGCGCTTCCACCAAACGAAAGTCCTACAATAAGTAAAAATAAACATTTGTTAGCACATAATTTGAGACATCAAAGTTGTCATTCAATCTATCTATGCCTCAAGTAATATTATGAATGAAATCAGGTGAGCAATGAAAATCAAGAGGCTTAAAAATAGAATATTTTTCTTTATGTTGGCATTCGATCAAAAGAGAAAAGAGGAGGAAATTTCTTGACTAATCTTCAATCCAACAAGAGGGGAAAGATGGATCCTATCCTAACAACAACAGTAAGAGGAGTGAATCAACACATGGTGAAGGTAGAGGACCTTCTTCGACGACGACAGAAGGAAAAAATCGAGAAAGGTGAAATGAGTGTTCGGCGGCTCCTGCAGTAGAGGAGGAAGGGAGTTTGAAAATTTCACCTCAAAAGAGAGAGAGAGAGAGAGAGAGAGAGAGAGAGAGAGAGAGCATGAGGAACAGTGAATATTTTTTTTTGGGACATTTAGGCCTTTTAAGGCAAATTCATGCACACAACGCATACACAAATACTCAAACTTAAAACCTCTTAGTTGAAAGCCTAAGCTCTCTGTAGAAATCCAGCAGTCTCTCGTGAGAGCTGCCTCGGACAGAAAATAGAAAGGGAAAACTGACAAGAACAGAACAGAGAAAGTAAAATCATATATGATTAAACAGAGGTAAGACAGCCTTTAAATAGGCATTTACAAGGAAGACAATACATGATATTACATATTTACCACAAACCTTTAGTTATTTATTTATCTGAGATTTATTATTTAATAGCCCCCCACAAACTGACGGGTTCTCTGTGACTGTCAGTTTGAGACGAAGAGTTTTAAATCTCAGAGTAGATAGAGGTTTGGTAAATATATCAGCTATTTGATCAATGGTGCTGATAGGTAAGATACAAATATTTTTATGAAGTATGTGATCTCGTACAAATCTTTGATCTAATTCAATGTGTTTTGTACGAGCATGGAAGACTGGGTTATTGGCTAAGGCAATGGCAGACATATTGTCGCAGTAGATATCCGTAGGTTGCTGTTGACCGATGCCGAGTTCATTGAGTAATTTTCGAATCCATATCACATCCGCTGTAAGCACAGCTAAGGCACGGTACTCCGATTCCGTGGACGATCTTGCTACGGTGTGCTGCTTTTTGAAAGTCCAGGAAATCAGTGTGTCCACAAGAAACGAGCAGAATCCGGAAGTAGACTTTCTTGAATCAGGATCATCGGCCCAATCCGCATCTGAAAAAGATGTAAGTTGAAAGTTAGATTTAGAAATAGGAAGACCATAGTTTAGGGTACCTTTTATATATCGCAGGAGTCTTTTGAGAAGAAACGCAGCATGAGAAGATGGATTGTGCATATGTTGTGATAACAGATTAACACTATATGCTATATCCGGGCGTGTAAGAGTAAGATATTGCAATGATCCAGTTAACCTGCGATACATATTTGGATCCGAGATCAAATTGTCCTGCGGTATATCAGATGGCGGTTTTGTGCATGTAGGATTATGTATAGGGTTGCAGCGGCTGAGTTGTGCCAATTCAAGCAATGATGTAGCATATTGTGCTTGTGAGAGAAACATATGATCAGAGTACCGGTCTATTTTTAGTCTAAGGAAATTATGTGCTTGCCCAAGATTTTTCATGGCAAATCTTTGATTTAGCTGTTCAAGAATCTTGGTAAGATGGTTAGTATTATTGCCAGTAAATAAAATATCGTCGACATAAATCAATAAGAAAAGTTGAATATTATTCTTGTCAAATAAAAATAGTGAAGGATCGGAAACACTATTTTTGAAACCAAGAGAGAGAAGGTACTCCGTGAACGTATTGTACCACTGCCGTGGCACTTGTTTGAGTCTGTACAATACTTTGTACAGCCGACAAACATAGTTTGGATGTGTGGGATCTTCAAAACCTTTTGGTTGATGCATAAAAACCGTCTCGGATAAATTACCGTGAAGAAATGCATTCGCTACATCTAATTGATGTACCTGCCAATCACGAGAATAAGCTAGTGTGAGTAAAATAAGAATTGTTGGTAATTTTGCGAATGAACTGAATGTTTCTGTATAATTGAGGCCATATTCTTGATTTTTCCCTAATTCCACTAAACGAGCCTTGTGTTTTGCAATAGATCCATTGGGGTGAAGTTTGAGTCGGTATGTCCACTTGCAACCTAAGACGTTGGAAGCCGACGGAGGAACAAGGCTCCAAGTTCCCTGTTGATGAAGTGCAAGAATTTCATCAGCCATGGCCTTGCGCCATTCAGGACACCTTACCGCATCAATATAGGTAGTGGGAATGAGCTTGATCAGGAGTGATCTGATGCAGTAAGTTCAATCATTTTACTGGTTTTAGGGACCCTGTTTTATGCCTAGTAATCATGTGATGGGATGTAGAGGCTGCAGCTGTAGGCATGGGAGGCATCGGATCTGGATGAGCACAAGTTGCCATATTGATAGGGGCTGAATCAGATTGCTGTATCTGTGGACTTGGTGGCTGATCCGTGTGCAAGGGTGATGGGAGTAATTGTTGCCGAGAGGTTGAGGTAGGCACAGGAGTTAGCATAAACGTAGGAACCATAGTATCTGCAGTATTAAGTTTGGTGCTGCCCTGTTTTTCAAAAAACGGAAAGATGTTCTCATTAAAGCTTAAATGCCGAGAAACAACAATTTTATTAGTTAATATATCTAGACATTTATAACCCTTGTGAACATCAGAATAACCAAGAAACACGTGTTGCTTAGACTTAGGTTGTAACTTATGACAATTGTGAGAAGGTATAAGCGGGTAACATGCGCATCCAAACGTACGAAGGTGGGTATAGTTCGGTGGAGTGTTGTAAAGTAATTCGAACGGAGACAAGTTTTTAGTGTTGCGGGAAGGCATATGATTTATAAGATAAATCGCCGTTAGAACAGCGTCAGACCAATAAGAGTAAGGTATGGTGGCCGTGTGTAACAACGATCGAGTAGTTTCAATGATATGCCGATGTTTCCTCTCTGCAACTCCGTTCTGTTCCGGAGTGTAAGGACAAGAAACTTGATGCGTTATACCATTAGTTTTCAAGAAGTTGGTGAATATATGACTAAGGTATTCACCTCCGCCATCAGTATGAATACACTTAATGTGTTTTGAAAAATAAGTTTTAATTTGCTGTTTGAACATAAAGAATACTTGAGCAATATCATATTTATGTTTTAAAGGAAACAACCAAATAAATCTAGTGCAATCATTGACAAAAATAGAATAGTATTGAAAACCTTGCAACGACGCACAAGGTGCAGGTCCCCAAATATCGGAATGTAAAAGTTCTAATGGTTGTTTCTTGCGTGTAACAGATTTCTCAAAAGGCAGTTTGTGGGCTTTTGAGATATTACATGTCATACAAGAATTAGGAAAATCTATATGTAAATGTGGGTAAGAAGAAGCAAGAAACATTATTGTTAGGATGCCCAAAATGATTGTGCCACGAAAATTGTGACGCCCGAGCCGTGGAGTAAGCATGATGAACTGGCGTTGGTGAAGTTGTCTGTATTTGATATAAACCGTTACGGCACGGTCCTTGAAGAAGAACTTCATGAGTCGTCAAATCCTTCAAAGAAAAACCGTTAGGATCGAAGATAATATAAATATTATTGTCCTTAGTAAGTTGAGATATGGACAGAAGATTATATTGCGGTTTAGGAGTATGAAAAAGATGTGTTAGAGTGAGTTTACGATCGGGTGTAGATAGCAAACCTGTACCGGCGTTAGCTATACCTACTGAACTTCCATCGCCAATGGTGACAGTATCGGGACCATGATATGGAGTGGAAACTGATAAGTTTTGATGGCATTTGTGAGATGCGATGAAGCCCCGGAGTCAAGAAACCAGTCAGTTGTGTTTCTTGAATTTCCAGCAAGGAGAGCTGTGTTGTTGTTTGTCGCCGGAGGTGTGTAGTTCTGGTTAAGTCTGTGCCAGCAAGAAGATGCACTATGCCCCTTTTTGAGACAAATTTGACATATCGTAGACGCATTTGGGTTAATCGTTCGCGAATTGGTTACCTGGTTGGTGCTTTTTCCGCGAGTTCGACGACCCCAACCGCGAACAGAATAAAGGGCTGTAGCCGAATCCGGTGCAGACGACATCCGAGATGCTTCAGAAGCTACGTGAATTTCTTCACTAAGAAGAAGTGCGTACAAATTATCGAGGCTAATAGGAGATTGCATTGTACGAATAGCAGTTTTAAAAGACTTATAAGAAGAGGGCCAGGGGCAGAACCAGCCTTTCATCTTAGGGGGGGCAAAATTTTCTTTGTATAATAGACTAATATATAAAAAAAAAAGATGATATAATTCAAAGTGAAATCATGTATTCCATTATGATAGAAAAATTGAAAATCATTACAATTTTATCAATCTATTTTATATTTTTTGATAATATTGGATAACATCTTCATTGGGAATCAAATCAAATACATCTTTTTCAATATAAGGCACAAGACAATCGTTGAGCCAATCATCACCCATCCTACTACGCAATCGATGTTTGATAATTTTCATGGCTGAAAATGCTCTCTCCACCGTAGCAGTAGCAACTGGTAAGGTTAATGATAAAGTAATAAGTTTGTAAACCAAAGGATACACATCATTCTTCTTGAACTTAACAATCTGCTTTGCAAGATCAGCAATACTTCTTAGAGAGGAGAACTCTTCACTAGTCCGCATATCGATAATGTACGTTGATAATTGACTTTTAA